TTGCTGAGAGGCTCTGGGTCCCACTCCGACTGGTTGAGCACATCTCGGGGCTAGTGGTGATGCCCCTCGGTGGTCCTTATGGGTATTATTCGTAATCGTCTGCACAGAGCTGGTGTCGTTAGGCTATGGCAACAGTGACTGATTGCTCGTGACGCTGGACCGGTACGAAGGAGGGCTTGCCCTGGGTGACGTGTTGATCTGACTGTGGACCTGTTTCCGTTTCTGGGATTCTGGAATGAAAAGAGTAGGGGCAAGGGGGAAATAGTCTTTAGGTTGAACATTCCTGGTTTTACAGAAGGCACTCTGAAAAGAGCAGTCAGCATTTTCCAAAGTTCAAAAATAACTCAGCCATGTTATGTAACCTCCTCCTCGCTACTGCAAAGTTATTAAACATCTGTTCTTTCGCCAAGCACAGAGTTTTCGCTGGTGACTCCCAGCGCTGGGAAGGTAAACCAGGACCTGTTTTGCTGGGGTGGGACGTAGGCTGTCCTGTCCAGTTCTGTCCCAAGATCTGTCCAGTTCACTGGTGGATGGGGCTGCCTGGGAGGCACTGTGGCCTCGTGATTAAGGGTGTGGGCACTGGTTTGAATCCCTGATCAGAACTCTTCTGTTCTAAGACTTTGGGCAAGTTACCTAATTCCTCCAGGTCTGCTCCCTCAGGTGAAATACGGGGATAAGAAAAGTATTTACGTCTTAGCCCACAGCCTGGCATATGGAAAGCAGTCTGTACGTGGTTACTGTAATAGATAAAATGTATGTGCATGTATTCATGTGTTCTTCATTGGAGGGAACACATGTTACACTTACTGAGGAGGAGATCACAGAAGGGATAGCTAGATGCATTTTTTAATTTTTTAAAATATATTTTTATTGATTTTGAGAGGAAGGGAGAGAGAGAGAGAAATATCAATGATGAGAATCATTGATCGGCTGCCTCTTGCACACCCCCTACTGGGGATCGAGCCTGTAAACCTGGCATGTACACTTGACAGGAATGGAACCCAGGATCCTTCAGTCCACAGGCTGACGCTCTATCCACTGAGCCAAACCAGCTAGGGCGGTAGATGCATTTCAGATCTAAATCCTCTTGCCAAGGGATTACCTTGGGAGGAATCTGGCCAGGGCGAAGAAGATCAGTGTGGCATAGAGAAATTCATGGGCTGGGTAATATCACAGAATTGGTTTTGAATTGGCCACATACTGACCAAGTGTAAGTTACTAGCCACTCTGAACCCAGGTTTTTATCTGAAATGCGTGTGTGTGTGTGTGTTATAGTCATCTGTTCTTATTAAAGCAGAATTAAATGAAAGTCTCTATGTACAACACTTCTCATTGAGCCTGGCTGGTGGTACGCATTTCACAACTGTCATTACTGCCTTCTTATTATTTTATGATAATGATGATAATCATCATCATCATTATTATTACTTTAACTGATACTGTTACACTGCAAGCTATGTACAGGCAGGAATGTGAGAAATGGAGGTGTATTCCAGTCTCATTTTTTTAACAACTGAATTGCAACTATATGTCCTGTGGCTCTGATGTTAGTCGAGGGAGTAGGAAAT